TTGGGGGTTTTCCTATTGGATTTCTCAGTTCTACCAGCTGCCATTTTCAATAAGCGCCACGGCTTAAAGCATGATTCTCAGGCAATTCAAGTCCTTTAGAGACAGTATTCTGTGACCATGAACTTCACTGATAACCCCACATGGTTCTAAATATCAGTTCAGCCAAAAGTCCTCCTTCCTACTGAAAAAACAATTAAGTGCCACAAGGCCTATGGACCATGTAAGCTATCACAGCAGTTTCTATTAAGGTTTAATCTTTATATCCTAAGGCTTTGCCACCTTGGCTGTTAACAAGTGGTAAATCAGTATAGAAAAATGAAGTAAAATAAGTGTCCATACAAAATTCTTTCTGAAAATAATCAGTAATGGAATATTTAAGGTGGTCATTGATTCTCATAGTGCAAGGGATTATAAAGAGGCAGATTCCAGTGTATGAAGAGGCAGAAAATGCTCCTTATGTCATAATAAATAAAAGCAGATAAGTTCTGAGAAGTCAGGAAGCAGACACTAACCTACCAGGAGGGCGAGAGTTTCCCAGGAACAAGACCTAGTTGAGGCTGAAAGGCTCATTACTAAGGCAACATCCTTATGCTAAGGCTCTCTGCAGACCGCGATTTGGAAGCTTCGTGTGATATAAGGAAGTGAGCTTCCCTAAACAGCCTGGACTGCATCATCCAATGCAGGGCGTGGCTGAGATTAGTTCTTTAACTAGTTAAAACTGAAATAAACTTAAAAATAATATTAAATAAGACAAAATAAAGTCCCTTAAAATTTAAGATTAAAAAGAGGTAAGTGGATGAATATTCCCCTTTATAGGAGCAATCTTCCTGTATAACCTTAAATAAGCCCTTCTTAACCTCAAGTCTTTAGATCCTTAAAGGCAGAGTTTTGAGAATGCCAGAATTCATGAATGGCAGGCAAAACTGTTTGTAGGTATATAGATTTTTTCCTTCTGTGAAGAGGTCCCATGGCATTCATTGCATTCTCAAATGATTAATTAATGATATGCACCAAGAGAGTAAATACATCACAAACCACCCAGCAGCATAGTAAAAGGGTTATACAGCATGATCAAATGAGATTTATCCCAGGAATGCTAAAGTGGTAGAACATACAAAACCCAGTCAAAGTAATACACCACAGTAATAGTATAAAGGGGGACCAAAACACATGATCACTTCAACTGATGCAGAAAAAATAAACATTCAAAACAATCCAACACCCTTGTGATAAAAATACTTAACAAACTAAAAATAGATGAGCATTTATAAGAAACCCACAGTTACCATGCTGAAAAATTGAAAGCCTTCTAAGATCAGGAACAAGCCAGGGATATGGTTATTCAAAAATGGAAAAAGAAAAAAAACCCTCTATAGTACAATAATTCCAACACAACTATTTCAAATCAAATTAGAAACTAGGTCTATTTTCAAATTTTGAAAACCACTGTAGTCAAGAGAAAGTTGATGAAATCCAAAAGGAATAGAGTGAGAGTCTCTATAAGGTAGTGAGGGACTGGGTCCTCTATCTGGCAATAATCGATGCTTTACTTGGTCTTCATTATTTATAAATAATATGGCTTCCAAAAGATACCTACAGCCTTTGACTCAAATGGAACCTGCACTTCCATCTGGCTTCACAGAGATGGTTCTCAACCAGGGTAGTTGGCATGATCACACTGTGTTTTTAAAATATAGCTGACTTCAATATTAGTTAAAAATTATATTGGAAATGATAGCAGGACTACAAATAATTTTTATTCTATTTCCTGTATTTGCCAAGTTTTCCACTGAACTTACCTTCATCAGAGATAAAACTTTTTTTTTAAATAAAACTGATGGGATGATCCTTGTGGCAGTATGGAGGGTGAAATGCGGCAGGAACAGCAGGAATGTGCCCCAAAATAAGGGAACAGGTGACAAGAATCTAAATAAAAGTAGACGCGGGGGCGGGGTTAGAAATGGTAAGTTGAAAAGATGAACTGACCCAGGCAACTGGATGAAACTTAAAAGACAAGTTTAAGAATAAGTCTCAAAGTTCTGAGTTGGGGAACTGCCTCCAGCAACATAAGAGAAGAGGTGGGCTGGTTACAGGAAAGAGGATGTGGTCAAATTTAGTTCAGGCTATGATGAGTTTAAGGAGTCTAGCACCCATCCAGGTACATATGTCTAATCAACACTGGAAATACAATGATGAAACTCAGAAACAGAAGGAGGATTGGAGATTTAAGTGTAGAAGTGTTAGCTGAAGCCATAGGAATGGATGCAATTGCTCAGAGTGCCAAGAACAAAATTAGAAGAAAAATAGCCTAGAACAAAAGCCTGGAAAACATCAGCATTTAAGATGGGAGATTGTAAAGGACAAAAGAGAAAGAAAGGTAGGGAAGTAATTAAAAGAGAGTAGTCTTATGTAAGCCAAAATAATATACATTTTCAAGAAGAAAAATGTGGAAACAACATCATCAAATCCTATAAAGATTAAAGAATGAAGCCTGAAAAATGTCTGTTGCATTTGTCAATAATGAGGTCCCTAGTGACCTTAGTGGGGGCAGAAAGTCAAATGTTGGAAGGTAGTATGATGTGAGTTGAGGAGTAAAATGAGAGGTGAATATTATAACCAATCAAAGGAAATCAATAATCTCACACTATATATACACTGTTCATTTTAAATTTTTAATAAGTAGCCCTGGCTGGTGTGGCTCAGTGGATTGAGTGCCGACCTATGAACCAACGGGTCATTGGTTCGATTCCCAGTCAGGGCACAAGCCTGGGTTGCTGGCCAGGTCCTCAGTAGGGGGCACACAAGAGGCAACCACACATTGATGTTTTTCTCTTTCTCTTTCTCCTTCTGTTCCCCTCTCTCTCTAAAAATAAATAAATAAAATCTTTAAGTAAGTAAATAAATAAATTTTGAATAAGCAAAAATGGAAACTATATTCTTTTTTATTCCATGGCAAAATGGTTCATCAGTTTGTACAGTGAGTAAATATATTCCCTATGTTGAATTCTATCACTCATTGCTTGTGTGACTTTAAACAAATGATTTAACACTCCTGTGCTCCATGTTCTTCATTTGTAAAATGGGAATGGGAATTGCACAACCTCAACAGATTTGTTGAGAATTAGATGAGGTAATGCACGCAAAACAACGAGCTAAGTATCTGCTAACTCAAGGTTCGGATGTTATGTTTCCTAATTCTTTTATTTGCGCAAACACCAAAAAGAAATTAAATCTGGATACCCTCAATTGAAGGTCTGATTATTTAAAATAACAATATCATTCAGGACTGCTCATTAAGCTTACTAATTCACTTGACAGTGAACATCCATTGAGCATTCTTCACAGGCCAAAAATGTGTTAGATCCTGAAGACACAAAAATGGTTAATGCTTGGTCCCAACTCTCACAGGCCAGAGGAGGCAATGGCTACCTTTTTTAAAAAAATTACAATGTGACAAGTAGAATAAGACAATTGTTACTATATGGGTTACCTATGAGGGTTATAGACAAGTAAAGAGAATGCAAAGGTGTAAGTATTTATACAATGAAATGATCAAAACAACACTTGTAATATTCCTCCCTACTACCTTTTAGGCCTTCGTTACAATGGCCTAAGTTGATTTGAAAAAACCAAAATGCTAAGCTGCCAGTTGATTAACTTCTTTTATTTTAATGTTGTTCGATTACAGGTGTGCCAATTTTTCCCCCATTGCTCTCCCCTGCCCCGCCCACCCCCCTTCTCCAGCTCCCACAGTCAATCCCCACCCTGTTGCCCATGTCCATGGGTCCTTTATACATGTTCCTTGACTAGGCCCTTCTCCTTCTTTCCCCCCTTGTCTCCCTTCCCCTCTCCCTTCTGGTCACTATCAGTCTGTTCCTCGTTTTCATGCCTCTGGTTCTATTTTGTTTATTTGCTTGTTTTGTTCATTAGTTTCCTCTGATAGGTGAGATCATATGGTATTTGTCTTTCATCGCTTGGCTTATTTCACTTAGCATACTACTCTCCAGTTCCATTCATACTGTCACAAAGGGTAGGAGTTCCTTCTTTCTTTCTGCTGCATAATACTCCATTTTGCAAATGTGCCACAGTTTTTTGATCCACTCATTTACTGATGGGCACTAACGCTATTTCCAGCACTTGGCTATTGTAAATAAAGCTGTTATGAACATAAGGATGCACAGGTGTTTCATTGGTGTTTCAGAATTCTTAGAGTATAATCCCAGCAGTGGAATCGCTGGATAAAATGGCAGTTCCATTTTTATATTTTTGAGGAAATTCCATACTGTTTTCCACAGAGGCTGCACCAGTCTGCATTCCCACCAACAGGGCACTAGGGTTCCCTTTTCTCCACATCCTCACCAGCACCTGTTGTTTGTTGATTTATTGAGGATAGCCATTCTGACTAGTGTGAGGTGATATCTCATTGTGGTTTTAATTTGCATCTCTCTGATGGCTAGTGATGCTGAGCATCTTTTCATATGTCTCTGGGCCCTCTGTATGTCCTCCTTGGAGAAGTATTTGTTCAAGTTCTTTGCCCATTTATTGGTTGGATTATTTACCTTCCTAGCGTTTAGTCATATGAGTTCTTTGTATATTTTGGATATCAAACCCTTGTCCAAGGTATCATTGGCAAATGTTTTCCCATACGGTTGGTTCCCTTTTCATTTTGATGATGTTTTCTTTAGCTGTGCAGAAGATTTTTAATTTAATGAAGTCCCATTTGTTCATTTTTTTTTCCTTTATTTCCCTGGCCCTAGAATATATACTGGCAAAAATATTGCTGCCTGGGATATCTGAAACTAGGACTTTTATGGTGTCACAGCTCATATTTAAGTCTTTTACCAATTTTGAGTTTATTCTGGTGTATGGTGGTAAGTGGGTGGTCTAGTTTCATTTTTTTACATGTAGCTGTCCAGATCTCCCAACACCATTTATTGAAGATGCTCTTTTTACCCCATTTTATTCTTCTGACCCCTTTGTCAAATATTAGTTGGCTATAAAAAAATATGGAACGCTTCATGAATTCGTGCATCATCCTTGCACAGGGGCCATGCAAATCTTCTCCGTATCGTTCTAATTTTAGCATATGTGCTGCCGAACCAGGCACTGATTTCCTTTGATGTTTTATAAATCACTTCTTCCAATAAATACCTATATTTAATCTATAATTCTTCTCTGTATTTCTCAATAACTTCATGACATTAACAACATATCTCCGGAGTTGAATGTTTTCTGTATCGCATGTAAAATAAATCACAATGTAATCTCATTACGAATAAAAGCTTTCTTTGCCTTACAAACAATAGCTCATTTATTTAATCCAAATATAAAAGCTATAGTTATTTAATGAAGAGCATTCAATAAATCACTGAAATGGGAATATGAAAACAAATCTATTACTAAGATCTCAGTAGAGGGAAATTAATGTTTCATCCTGTATAATGCCTTCTTATCCTTGGTCTTCCCTCGCCACTGGTAACCCTGTAATCTCACCACATAACCTGCTATAAAACACCACTCTGCTCACAAAGGCAGACCTATAAAGATCTAGATTGCAGTTATTAGGTCATTTTTGTGACCTGGGGCTAGTTCTTTAAATTCCCTAGAACTTCAGTGAAGAAAGACTGAAAATACCTTGTTCAGCCGAGTCACATTGTGAAAAAGGACATACAAGGAAAGCTTTCGGTCAAGATGGCAGAGGAGGTACATGCGGTACTCAGGTCCTCCCACAACCACATCAAAATTACAACTACACTGCAGAACAAGCATCATTCAGAACCACCTGAAACCTAGCTGCACAGAAGTCTTATAACTAAGGATACAAAGAAAAGGCCACATCAAGACGGGTGGGAGGGGTGAAGACATGGAACAAGCTGGTCCCACACCTATGCGTGGTGGTTAAAAAATTGGGAGGGATATCTCAGCTTTGGAGGTCCCACCTGAGGAGTCCCAACCCCACAGCAGGTCCCCAGCCCAGGGTTCCAGTGCCAGGAAGAAAAGCCTCCCTGACTTCTGGCAGTGAAAACCAGCATGGGTTGTGGCTGAGTGAGATAAGGGCTTCTGGAGTCCAAGGCATTTCTCTTAAAGAATATGTATAAACTTACGTGGATTCAATCACTTTGAGACCCAATGTTGGGCAGCAGCTTGAAAGGTGCCAGGGACATACGAGAAGGAACTGAGCATCTGGCTTTGGAGCAATGGCTGGAGGGGCAGCTTTCACCGAGACAGAAATGCTGGCAGAGGCCACTGTTCCTTTTCTGAGCCTTCACCCCACAGAGCAGGCAGATGGGTGCTCTATCTGAGTCTCCATCAACCTAGCTAACACTATTCATCCCCCCACACCCCTCACCTCTGGTGATTTCCTGAGACCCCACCCCACCCAACTTGTAGGCCGACCTAAGCTGTTTCCAGTGACTTTTCCATACAAAAGGCCTCTCTTGGCTCATGCTGTGGACTTCCCTAAAATCTCTCAGAGGTTCACAATCCCCAAACAAGCAGCATCTGGCCTCAGCATGCCCCATACCTCTTGTTAAATGGCCCCAGGCCTGGCACTAGCGGCAGCATCTGGCCTCATTTCTCAGCTTGGCCTCTCTCAGGCACCTCAAGCCCTGCACATGTAGGAGCAATCTGCAGATTTCTCTGTAGCTCATGCTAAGTGGCCCTGGGCAGGGCACAGCAACAGTTGATCTTGGCCTGAATTTTCCCGGAGGCCCAACAGCCAGCATTCCTTGTGGACAGCATCAGACCATGCCTGAGCACCGCTCAACCACCTCCACAAGCAACACACTCAAGGAATGGACTCACCAGGCACCAGAGCCCCACTGAAGCAAGTCCTGCTCTGCGGGTTGACCCCAATGCATCAGTTCCTCCACTGTGGTGGTCACAGCCAGTCCTCAAAACTGATCAGCCTGGGGGTAAATCTCTCCCACTGACAAGCGAACAGCAATCTGGGCTCAACTACAAGAGGAGGATGCACACAGCCTACCCAAGGACATACCTGAAGGGCCTAGCTCAGGTGACCAGGGAGGCTGTACCACTGGACCCCCTAGTACACCTACTACATAAGGTCACTCCACCAAGTCTGGTAGACATAGCAGCTCTACCTAATACATAGAAACAAACACAGGGAGGTTGCCAAAATGAGGAGACAAAGAAACGTGGACCAAATGAAAGGGAAGAACAAAACTCCAGAAAAAGAACTAAATAAAACGGAGATACACAATCTACCACAAGCAGAGTTCAAAACACTGGTTATAAAGATACTTGATGAACTTAGAAAAAGAGTAGATGAATTCAGCAAGAACTTCAACAAATCCATAGGCAACATAAAAAAGAACCAGTCAGAAATGAAGAATATATCAATAATACTTGCAATGAAGAATACATTACAGGAAATTGATAGTAGAGTAGCTGAGGCAGAAAACTGAATCAGTGATTTGGTAGACAAGGGAGCAGAAAACACCCAATCAGAAAACAAATAAAATTCTAATTAACAATGCTCATCTACTGTGACTTTGGGGACTAGAATGAGACTCTAACACTGACTACTCACAGCAGAGGTTATTCTGAGTTTACCATGAAAATAATGCATGATATTGGGTGATGACTCAGTTCTTCCCAGTCTTCTCTATTAAAACTACTGTGAAATCTCTGGTTTTGGTCCTTACTTAGTACAAACATATCATTTACATAGTAAACCTACCTTTTATCTTTTGTCATAACGTCAGACAAAGTATCACTTGGTGACAATATAAGCATAAATGCTATAAATTAATGATCCAAATGAATCAGAATATGCTTAACTACTTTGGGTTGTTTGTCCCCCCTAAAACAAAAACATGAAATGTAAAACTTCTTGTAAAAAATGCACCCCTGAGAATAAGCTTACATGTCCCCAGTGTTCAGGGTCTTGTGGTTGCATTTCAGCCTGAAGTGAATATATAGATGAGAGAGACTATTGATGTGTGTGTGGTGTGTGATGTAAGTAAAAGAATAATATGCCAAATTAGAGCATTTGCCTTCCTTGCTATGATCTTGAGAATATCACTAAGAAACATCCTTATTTCACTAAAGAATAATAGTAGTAGATAACATTTTATCCAATTCAAAGCCCTCAATGCCTTAATTAAACTAAAGAGGGCTTATAAGCACTGGATGTTAGGAAACCTTTCTTAAAATACAACTTTTTTATTCAAATTGTATAAAAATGTCATTTTCTAAACACTGATTTTTTTTCTTTTTCATAACTGTTGTTCAGTACATAGATTTATACACATATTATCTGTCATGTATTCTTAGTGTTTTATAAAATAAATTAAGTTAATCCTAACAGCAACCCTATGACTTAGATGTTACTATTATTATTGCTATATGATAGATGGTGAAAACTGAGGCGCAGAAGGGCTATGTAACATGCCCACAGGCACACAGCTGATCAGTGGCAGAACCAGGATTCAATCCCGTTATCTTGCTTCAGAGCATGTGAGTTTACTTACTGGGGTGATCACTTTGTAAGTTATACAAATATCTAATCACTATGTTGTACACCCAAAACTAACATAATATTATATGTCAACTGTAATTGAAAAATAAAAAATATTTTGAAGACCTGTTTTTGTATATTTCTTGCCTATTTCTATTATTCTTAAAAAGCTTTAAATGACTTTTTGGTATTCTTTATCCATTTTTTGATTAAAGATTTGTAGAATTCTTTTCCCTAAAAAAAAACTATTAACCCTTTTTTAGATGTGTGTTAAATACTTTTTTATTCAACTGCTTGTCCTTTAACTTTTTTAAATGTTTATTACTTTATAGTCTTAAATGTTTAATATAGTCATATTGTCAATATTCTACTTTATAGCTTCTGGGTTTGAATACTTTACTTCAGGGTAAGAAAAATATTAGTTTGTATTTTCTCCTAAAACTCCTTAGATTTTACATACTGATTTTTAACTCACCTGAATATTTCTTGTATAATGTGTGAAATAGGGCTCTGTATTTGTTTTATTTCAAGTAATAGTGGTCCATGCACCTTATTTGTTGAATAAGCCTTATCTTCCCCATTGATTTGGAATATCAATTTAATCATATATTATATTGTTAAACATATATACATTTGTTTCTAGAATGCTCATTATATTTCATTGATCTTCTTGATTATTTCTGTGCTGTTGTCATGTTATTTTAATTGCTGAGACTTTATAATGGATTTAAATTTTTTAATATTTTATACTGGATTTTGACATTTACAAAAATAAATAAAATCAACCTGCGTTTAAAAAAAAAAGAAAGAAAGAAGGAATTCCTATCTTTGCGACAACATGGATGGAACTGGAGAATGTTATGCTAGGTGAAATAAGCCAGTCAGTGAAAGACAAATACCATATGTTCTCACCTATAGGTGGAATCTATTCAACAAAATAAAATAATGAGCAAAATAAACCACAGATATGGAAACATGGAGCAGACTGAAAGTGAACAGAGTGGATAGGGAAAGAGGACAATGGTGGAAAGAAGGGGAAGCGACTAGCCAAAGAACAAGTATGAATGACCCATGGACATGGACAACAGAGTGGGAATTGACTGTGGGAGTGAGGGGTGGGGGTGGGATGGGTGGAGGGGGGCAAAGGGGGGAAAATTGAGACAACTGTAATAGAATAAACATGATTTAAAATTTTTTTTAAAAGGACATCATAAAATAGAAATATTTGTTAGATACCTGTCCAATAATTAATAAAGAGATTGTGGTGGAAAAAGAAATAATGTAAGGAAAACAACTCTTTAAGTTTAAAAAAAATAATAAAATGTTCAACAATGTTTCAATTTTTTAAAAAATGTACATGAGTTTAACTACCATGCAGTGCTACCTTATATTTACTTGTAGGCCTTCAGCATAAACCTATTTTCTTTTTCCTTAATGTGTTTACAGCATTTAACCATATGTATGGTTTTCAATGTATAAGATCGGAAATCCATAAACATGAAATATGGAGAAGATTTTTCTAGGTACTAAAAACAAAATATGCTGGCAGTTTTGCTGAAGAAAAAAAGTTAGGGTTTCTGGACGCTACTGATTTACTGCTCAGACACTAGAGTCAGGTCCGCAGA